GGTCTGAATTCAGGTTCTGAGACCATCAGGTCGCAATTTTCATACCGGAAGGCAAAATTTTCAGACAAGCAGTCTGAAACAAGTCTGAAAAATAGATTCAGACCACCAAGTCTGACAAAAGTGGTCTGAATTTTCAGATTTTTTTTAACAGTAAAACTACTTCAGCAGTTTGGGGGCCAGGGAAAACTATTCCGGCAGGTGTAAGGGCAGGGAAAACTTTTTTCTGTAGGTGCAAGGGCAGGGAAAACTATTCCGGCAGCTTGGGGGCCAGGGAAAACTATTCCAGCAGGTGTAAGGGCAGGGAAAACTTTTTCGGTAGGTGGAAGGGCAGGGAAAACTATTCCGGCAGCTTGGGGGCCAGGGAAAACTATTCCAGCAGCTGGGAGGGCAGGGAAAACTTTTTCGATAAGTAGGAGGGCAGGGAAAACTATTCCGGTAGCTGGGAGGCCAGGGAAAACTAGTCTGGCAGCAAGGAGGGCAGGGAAAACTATTCCAGCAGCTGTAAGGGCAGGGAAAACTACTTCAGCAGTTTGGGGGCCAGGGAAAACTATTCCGGCAGGTGTAAGGGCAGGGAAAACTTTTTTCTGTAGGTGGAAGGGCAGGGAAAAAATATTCCGGCAGCTTGGGGGCCAGGGAAAACTATTCAAGCAGCTGGGAGGGCAGGGAAAACTTTTTCGATAAGTAGGAGGGCAGGGGAAACTATTCCGGTAGCTGGGAGGCCAGGGAAAACTAGTCTGGCAGCAAGGAGGGCAGGGAAAACTATTCCAGCAGCTGTAAGGGCAGGGAAAACTATTCCGGCAGCTGGGAGGGCAGGGAAAACTAGTCTGGCAGCTTGGGGGCCAGGGAAAACTATTCCAGCAGGTGTAAGGGCAGGGAAAACTTTTTTCTGTAGGTGGAAGGGCAGGGAAAACTATTCCGGCAGCTTGGGGGCCAGGGAAAACTATTCCAGCAGCTGGGAGGGCAGGGAAAACTTTTTCGATAAGTAGGAGGGCAGGGAAAACTATTCCGGCAGCTTGGGGGCCAGGGAAAACTATTCCAGCAGCTGGGATGCAGGGAAAACTTTTTCGATAAGTAGGAGGGCAGGGAAAACTATTCCGGTAGCTGGGAGGCCAGGGAAAACTAGTCTGGCAGCAAGGAGGGCAGGGAAAACTATTCCAGCAGCTGTAAGGGCAGGGAAAACTACTTCAGCAGTTTGGGGGCCAGGGAAAACTATTCCGGCAGGTGTAAGGGCAGGGAAAACTTTTTTCTGTAGGTGGAAGGGCAGGGAAAACTATTCCGGCAGCTTGGGGGCCAGGGAAAACTATTCAAGCAGCTGGGAGGGCAGGGAAAACTTTTTCGATAAGTAGGAGGGCAGGGGAAAACTATTCCGGTAGCTGGGAGGCCAGGGAAAACTAGTCTGGCAGCAAGGAGGGCAGGGAAAACTATTCCAGCAGCTGTAAGGGCAGGGAAAACTATTCCGGCAGCTGGGAGGGCAGGGAAAACTAGTCTGGCAGCTTGGGGGCCAGGGAAAACTATTCCAGCAGGTGTAAGGGCAGGGAAAACTTTTTCGGTAGTGGAAGGGCAGGGAAAACTATTCCGGCAGCTTAGGGGCCAGGGAAAACTATTCCAGCAGGTGTAAGGGCAGGGAAAACTTTTTCGGTAGGTGGAAGGGCAGGGAAAACTATTCCGGCAGCTTGGGGGCCAGGGAAAACTATTCCAGCAGCTGGGAGGGCAGGGAAAACTTTTTCGATAAGTAGGAGGGCAGGGAAAACTATTCCGGTAGCTGGGAGGCCAAGGAAAACTAGTCTGGCAGCAAGGAGGGCAGGGAAAACTATTCCAGCAGCTGTAAGGGCAGAGAAAACTACTTCAGCAGTTTGGGGGCCAGGGAAAACTATTCCGGCAGGTGTAAGGGCAGGGAAAACTTTTTTCTGTAGGTGGAAGGGCAGGGAAAACTATTCCGGCAGCTTGGGGGCCAGGGAAAACTATTCCAGCAGGTGTAAGGGCAGGGAAAACTTTTTCGGTAGGTGGAAGGGCAGGGAAAACTATTCCGGCAGCTTGGGGGCCAGGGAAAACTATTCCAGCAGCTGGGAGGGCAGGGAAAACTTTTTCGATAAGTAGGAGGGCAGGGAAAACTATTCCGGTAGCTGGGAGGACAGGGAAAACTAGTCTGGCAGCAAGGAGGGCAGGGGAAACTATTCCAGCAGCTGTAAGGGCAGGGAAAACTACTTCAGCAGTTTGGGGGCCAGGGAAAACTATTCCGGCAGGTGTAAGGGCAGGGAAACTTTTTCTGTAGGTGCAAGGGCAGGGAAAACTATTCCGGCAGCTTGGGGGCCAGGGAAAACTATTCCAGCAGGTGTAAGGGCAGGGAAAACTTTTTCGGTAGGTGGAAGGGCAGGGAAAACTATTCCGGCAGCTTGGGGGCCAGGGAAAACTATTCCAGCAGCTGGGAGGGCAGGGAAAACTTTTTCGATAAGTAGGAGGGCAGGGAAAACTATTCCGGCAGCTGGGAGGGCAGGGAAAACTAGTCTGGCAGCAAGAAGGGCAGGGAAAACTATTCCAGCAGCTGAAAGGCCGTTCCGTTCAATCCGGGATTGCATAACTTTGCTTTCGGTGGCTGGGAGGGCTGGGAAAACTTTTTTAGCAGCTAGGAGGCCACGGAAAACTATTCCAGTAGGTGGGAGGTCAGGGAAAACTAGTCGTTACAGAAATCCTCTTCAAACCCATGTAAACCATGATGCACCGGCAGCAGCGCTCCCGGGGCTCGGATCGGATATGCCACCACCGGACGGTTCAGAGAGGCACCTAGGGCGACTGCATACCAAATTTGGTGAAGATCGGGTAGCTCAAGGTGTAATGCGTGCGGTTCCGTAGACGTCAACAGCTGAAAGGTAAAATACGTGCGAATCCGTAGACGTTTATTGCCTAAAGGTAAAATGCGTCTCAAATATGTAGACGTGAATTGCCCAGAGGTACACTAGACGTAAAATACAAGAATTACATCTACGCTTATTAGAGGTAACTTTCTAAAAAGCTTTAGAGGTTTCTCGCGCCCTGGTACACGACGCGACCTTTACCTCTACATGGTAGAAGTAAACTCCGTAGAGGTAAAAACGCGTAGAAAAAGTTAGAGGCAAACAACCTAGACGCAATATATGAAATGTCTCTTTCGTAGAGGTCTATTTCTTAGAGGTACCGGGATCGTCCCGCCTAGCCCTGCCCGGCCCGGGGCAGCCATTACGATAAATTCGTATTGTTTCCGGACCATTATTGTCAGCCAGTTACGCTTCCTCTCCGTCCCCGCATTGCCGAACCGAGGGGGCGGACAGGAAAGTAGTGCCGTTGCACTGTTAGTGCTCACCGAGGTTCCAGGTGGCCTGTGAGCGAGGCGTCGGGGTCAAATATTAAAAAGCATCAACCTTCATCGGGATACACAAAGGTACCCATTTTTTCAGTCGGGCGGTCATGTCTCACTCCTCCAAAGGCGACAGGCCTCACCTTCCGGTTTCCAGTGTATCAAGCGTCTAATGGAAAAGGCTGTGCAAAGCGGCCCAAAAAAAAACACGAGCCCGAGGGCGGCGGCGCCGGGCCCCACACTGGGAGGGGCGCCGAGTTCGCTCTGTGATTTTGAATGATGCACCGCGAGAAAGGAACGGACAGGGCGAGGGGGAAGGGGAGGGGGTCCTGGAGGGGGAGGGAGGCCCTCGCAAAGAGAAGAGCACGGCGAGGGCGCTAATTTCTCGCCAAGCGTGGCCCCGCAGGGCCGCAGGGCCGCAGGGCGTTGCACACGGTAACGAGACACGCGTGAGGTGCGGGCGTGTCGGCCCGCACTCACACAGACACACACACACACACACTCATCCCGCACTGCAACGTACGGCAGAGAGAGAGCGAGAGCGGGGGAGAGAGTTGGAAGCACAGCGGCAACGCTCTTAATTGCGTGGTATCCGCACGGCAGTGCTGTTTGCTAGCGCGTACGCGCGCGCGCACACACACACACACACACACACCACCGCACGCGACGTCACAGCGCGACGACCCCCGTGACGGCTGGGCCGTGGCTGGGCCATGCCTGGCTGGCCCGCAGCTATACGACCTCGTATACACTGCAAAGGATGCTTTATTGTGGGGCCCCGGCCGGCCTGGGGCCTCGGGGCTGTCCGGCTGTGTCGTCGACACCCCGCCGGCCCCGCTGGCCTTGTCCGCGTCCCCCGTACCTGCGCGGCCCCTCCATAACCCGGACTACATTAACCACGCGGCCTCACGGCGCGGCCGCGCGGCTCGGGTTGCGGAGAGAGTCCTTGGCGAGCCTTGGTCCGCAGCGCCGCGGCCCGGTCCGGCCGGGCTCGGGTTGCAAGGTCACGCTCTGGATGCGCTGGGCGAGGTGGCCGTCAACGACGCACCGCGCGGCGCGGCGGCCGAGCGCCTGCGGTGGAGAGCGTAGGCCGTGCCGCCGCGCGCGGCTGTGCAGCGCGTTGCCTACCCTCGCGTCGTCGGGCGCTGAGCTTCGTGCGAGTGGCCTACCCTGGCTTCGTCGGGCGCTGGGCAGGGTCGACATGAGCCCCGTCCCGATTGAGCCCCGATGACTTGAGCCCCGGCAGAGCCCCGGCCGAGCCCGACTCGAGCCCCGACTTGAGCCCCAACTGAGCCCCGATGGCCAGAGCCCCGACCTGAGCCCGTTTTGAGCCCCGACCTGAGCCCCGTTTGAGCCCCATTTGAGCCCCGCGCCAAAAAGTTGCAATATCTTCACTAAAAAAGTTCAAAAATGGAAGTTTTTTGGCGTGGGGCTCAAGTGGGGCTCAAACGGGGCTCAGGTCGGGGCTCGAACCGGGCTCAGGTCGGGGCTCTGGCCATCGGGGCTCAGTTGGGGCTCGAGTCGGGGCTCAAGTCGGGCTCAAACGGGGCTCTGGCCGGGGCTCAGGTCATCCGGGCTCAATCGGGATGGGGCTCATGTCGACCCTGCCGGGCGCTGACGCGCTGAGCCGGAGGCGGTTTCTGACTCTCGTGTCCTTGTTGTGCCGCAGGTCGCCCCGACTCCGTCATCAACTGCTCCGTGGCCAACACGTCCATGACGTCCTTCTCGGTGCGCTGCTTCGAGGGCTTCAACGGCGGCCTGCCGCAGTCCTTCCTGCTCGAGGTGCGCGACCCCGTGAGCCAGGCGGTGCGCGCCAACGTGACGGCCGCACTGCCCGCCTTCCAGGTGGACCGCCTGGAGCCCGGCGCCTCGTACCAGGCCTGCGTGTACTCCGTCAACAGCAAGGGCAAGTCGGACCCCATCATCCTGCAGGCGTCCACCATCCGGCCCGCCGAGAAGCAGCTGCACCCCGACAAGGGTGAGTGTCTTCTCTTCATCTCACAACCAGCACCAAAGGGGAAAAGTGCATTTAAAATTTTAGTACTGCTGCGATTTTAGTTGGTAGACGTCGCAGCCATTTTTGATTTTTTTATGCGCTAACTGAATTGTTTTGGGATCCCGCGACGTGTCTTTTCGAAGTGCTGGGTCCGTTGTCGCGTTTTGGGCCGGTCGGGCCGGTGCATCGCGGTCGCGCCGATGGTGACGGGGGCGTGCCCTCGGCCGTGCCCTGCCCGGTCCGCGCGGCCGGCCGGACATCGCCTCGTGTAATTTAATTCGGCCAGCCTTCCATTTCGGCCGGATCGTGCGTGGCGGCCGCACACTGGAGGTAATAACACTAACACTGTCGTGTTCCCCCCTCCCCCCCTCCCGCGCCCCGTGTTCCGCAGTGCCGTCCGTTCGCAACAAGCAGCGAACGTGCGTTTAGCGCCCCCGGCAAGGCGCCGCGCCCGGCCACGCCGCGCCACGCCGCGCCACGCACAGCCTCTGCCACCCCTTTCCCCTGCTGGCCACGGCAATGCTATCAGCAGGGGCACCGACACAGCGCTCCGTGCCCTGCCGTGCCGTGGCGAGCCGCGCCGTGTCTGCCGGGGTGCGGCCTGGGGTGAAAATTGCCAACGACGACCCACGGCGGGGAATAGTTGTAGCGTTGGGTGAGAATGCGGGTATGGCGGCAGCGTGGCACGGCACGGCACGGCACGGCACGGCACCTGGCTCGGGGCGTGCTGCGCGCTGCGGGACGAACCCGCTGCTTGCCCAATTACCAGCTGGCAGTGGCTTCCGTGAAATATATTGCCGAATGGTGTATGTGCACACCCTCACGCACCTCTATCATGCAGTATGTGAGTGGAAGGAAACTAGGATAAAAGTGGGCCCGATTTTTATTCGCTCAACGCGAGTGTGTTTTTATTTTCGCCAACCAACGAACGGCGAGAAAAAAGTTAGCCTGTTGAATGAATTTACTGAATGTCACAGGAATCGCCACGGTTATTTCCAGGTTTCAAGGTCAAACGCGAGCGGGCGTGGAAAATCGCGGCCAGCCGGAAAAGGTTCGGGGAAGAAAGAGACGTTCCTGCTCGGCCGACGCGACGCCGCGAACGCTAAACGCGGGGCGGCAAAAAAAATGTCGGCGGCGCGTTCTGTAATACGCCAAATTGCGCACCTCTTTCCACACCATCAGCCTTCCGCAGTCCGCCTTGCCTTTTCCGCTGCGGTTTCATCCGCCCTGTCCATGCGCCCCGCCCCGCCCCACCCCGCCCCACCCGCCCCCACCCCGCCCGCCTGGCTGACACATGAGGCCCCGGGGCCGCGGGCCGCGGGACTACACTTTTTCTGGGTCGCAACTTTAAGACGGACGACTAAAACGGACGCCACTCTGCTGCTGTCGAGCGGGGGCGGAGGAGAAGGGTGAGAGTCAAGAAGGATCCCTCCCCGCCGGCCGCAGTCGGGCAGGCATGCGGCAAACATATTGTGGCAGAAAAAAAACTGGCAGCGCGCGAGTTGGGTCGAGTTTCGGCAGACTGTAACCCGTCGCACTTTTTCCGCCGCTGTTGAGTGGAGGCCTCCCTCTGGAGCGACAGAGGCCGCCCAGGAGTGGATGGAGTCCTGGGTGGCGTCCTGGGTGGCGTCCTGGGTGGCGTCCTGGGTGGCGTCCTGGGTGGCGTCCTGGGTGGCGTCCTGGGTGGCGTCCTGGGTGGCGTCCTGGGTGGCGTCGGGCGCGTTCTTTCAAGCCTAACGAGCTTACCTCCGCGAAGGCCGCCATCCGGGCTTATCGCTCAGCCACTGCACGACGTCCTCCAGCGCGCTGATTCCGAAAAGGGCTGTCGCCGCTCCGTCTCTCTCGCACCCACACGCGACGCCCAGCGAGTGCGACAGAGACAGCGTGTGCGGAATCAGCCTGCCGCGAGATTGGTGAACGGGTACCCGAGAGTGGGCGGGCAGGCGGGGCGGTCCCGTGGGAACGCGCGCCGCACCGCCGCCAAAAAGCCAAGGCGGCGATGGGGGTCTGGGCGCGTCGCGCGTCGGGGGGAGTCTGGGTCGCGCAGCCGACGCGCGAAGCAGCGCGAAGCGGCGCGAAGCGAGGAGCCGCAAGGAGCCGCCCCGCCGGGTATGAAAACAAAAAGGCCACTCGGCGACGCGTCCTTTGTGTATTCAATCACACGCTACTCGCTGTCCCCGGCCGGCCAGGGACCCTAATGGCGGCTGGAGGACGAAGTGGGGCACTCGAGGAGGCGGGGAGGGGAGGGGGGCCACCACCAAGTCCTCCATGCCACCTCGGTACCCACGCGCTGTCCTGTCCTTCGGCCGAGGCTGGGCCGAGTGGAGGTTCCAGGGTGGCGAGGCCCTCCAGGACGGCAGGGCGCGCCACGCTCCGCCACGCTCCGCCACGCTCAATGAGACATTCTGATGCGAGGCCCGTGTTGGCACAATGGCCCCAATCTGGTGCATGGCTGCAGGGGCTGGCCACCCTATCACGCCGGGGCAACGCGCCGGGCCACACACACACACACACACACACACACACACACACACACACACACACACACACACACACACACACACACACACACTTGCAGAGCCTTTGCGAAGACCCTCGATGGTCGCCGTTCCCCTCGGATTTGGAAGGGGCCCGGCTTCCGCCGTCTTGCGGGGCGCCACACAAGAAAAATCAAATCTGTATCCGGGCGGCGCGCTCGGCCGCACGGCGCGTACAGCGGCGCGCCAAAATGTACACTCCGAGGCAAAAAGGGCGGCCTTCCCCTCGACGGTCATTACAGCCCGCCTCATTGCCCCTTATTCGGCCGAGCTCGCCGTGAGATACGTCATTTCGGAGGCCGCTCTCCCCGGCCGCCACGCCGCCGCCCGCCACGGGAAACTTTGGGTTGGCGGCAAAGAAAAGAACCTGCCAAGCAAAAAAGAAGTGAAGCCACACCTCAGATTACGCCTCGCCTCCCGGACCGGGTTCCAGCCCGGTTGCCGGAGCGCCCGAAGGGAAAAACCGACGGCGGGAATCGAACCCGCGGAACGTGGAAGTGGGCCGCGTGAGCGAAGACACACTGACGTCCGCCAGTGTGGTCACCGGACGGGGCGGCAACCCATTGGCCCCGTGACGATCGGCAGAACCCGAACCAGCCCAAACCGCCGCGAGCATCTCTGACGGCGTCCTTCTGACGGCCTCCTCTCTGACGACGGCGTCCTTGACGGGCCACCTCGCCTCGGGAAGGGAAGCCTGGCCTAGGCAATCCCGGCCCGTGGCAGGCCTGGCGGGCCTGGCGGGTCGACCAGCAATTCATATTAAAACAGCTGTCGACAGCAATGGGTCGCGCACGTCTGCAGTTCCGTCACGACTCGGTCACGACACGGGCGGGGGGGGGGGGGGGGGGCTCGGTGTCCAATTCCCCTTTCCATTACACGCCGCCACCGTGACCCACTTCGTGTTGTGATTCTCGCAGTGTGGGATCGCGCCGCCGAAGGTATGGACCTGATCGGCCGTCCCGGACGCTTGGCCGCTCGGCCCGGCATCCCAGCGGCTCTCATATTCAAAGCACAATCCGGATGGGGTCGCCCCGCCCCGCCCCGCCCCGCCTCGCCTCGCCTCGCTAGGATGGCGGGGATCAGGGCGGAAACCTCTGGAAAAAGTAGCGGCGTGTACCGCGGTCCAGCGCGCCGCTCCGCCGCTCCGCCGCTCGAATCGAGGATTTCCAGGTCACGCGGGGACGGGGGGAGGGGGTTGCGTCGTAGGTAGTAGTGAGTTGGCACGTCGCAGGCCGACTCGACTCCGAACACGGCTGTCGTCGCCGCGTCTCTGCCGCACTCGAGGAGCGCTCGTGGGTGCGAGAGAGACGGGCTGCTGGCACGTCGCGAACCAATTAGACCCTCGGCGTCGTCCCCAAATTGGAGACGCCAGCTCGCCATGATAGTCTGTCATGTGGTTAACCGGGACGGATCGCGAAACGACGGCGACCCTCCCGCGGACCGCGCACGCCGCGCCGAAGTTTGGCTCGGGGACCTTGGGGGACTCGACGACGGGGACTTGCTTTTCTGACGTGCGTGCGGTTGTGTTGCAGGCGAGCCCCGGGCGGCCTTCAGGCTGACGCCCCTCACCAGCACCGTGGTCGGCGGCGTCCTCGCCCTCATCCTCATCGCCGCCGTGGTCTGCGTGTCCGTGCGCATGCGCTGCTGCGCCAGCGCCGAGAAGCGGCGCTCGCGCTCCAAGGAGGCCCAGGACCAGGAGGACAAGGGTTCGATCCCCGGCACCGGCTCGCCGCACTCGGCCAAGTTCGGCGACTCCAGCGGCGGCGACGGCGCCACTGACTCGGACGAGAAGAACCCGGACATCATCCCGCAGGCCGGCGCCGCAGGTTGGTACAGCAGACTGATCCAGAGAGTCGTTTCCGTCGCTGTCTCTCTCGGGCCTTTACGGTACGCCCTATGAGTGCGAAAGAGACAGAGCGACGAAAACGACTCGCTGCCAGGCGTCAGAGCGACCTCCGCCTAAGCTAACTAGTGCACTGCAAGCCCCACGTAGATAATGAGATGTTTACAGTGTGTGTTGCAGCCGCGGACCCGGACGACCACTCGGACCTGATCCGGCGCCGCCAGCACGTGTCGACCATCGAGACGACGGCGGTGACGTCGCCGTCCCGGACGCTGCTGCAGGGCGTGCAGCAGGGCTACCCGGGCTACTGCACGCTGCGCAACGGCATGAGCGGCATGACGGCCATGCCCCTGCAGGAGATGGGCCCCGGGCCCAAGCCCAAGGGGGTGAGTAGTTTGGAACTAATCCCGTCCCTTTTCCCCCGACTTAACCCAACCGCAGACAGAAGATCCAACGATACTTAGTACACTCGTTCCAGGAGTGTGTGTGGAAGGACAGGATTTTGATTGATAATTTCACTCCTTTGGAAAGGGGCTTTGGGGAAGTAAACATCTGTGAGCACTTGGACTAGTAGCGCACTCCATGGTCAGCTAAATGGAGAACGCGTTGGGGTTTGCGGAGCGGTTTATGGACAGTCCCCGTGGCACACAGCCCTTTGGCCCCGCGGCATTTACGGGCGGCCCCGTCTCCCCTTGCGGCCCTGCCGGCCCCTCCACGCTAACGATGTCATTCCGGGGACCATTTGCGTAACGAGGCGCAAACAGTGTTATTATCGCCAACTAGTGTAGGGTGCAATCGGAGCCTCATTGGTCGCCTACCTGGCAGAGCCCGGTCGAGGGCTCTCTGTCTCCGCCTCTGTCGCACTCACGGGGCACCCCGCCCGGGTGTGAGAGAGACAGAGGGAAGGCACTGCCGCCAGGCGCGCTGAGTCCTCCTCGGCCCGCTGCGCGAGTGTTTAGATTTACAGTGAGTGCAAATGGCGACGCAGCGACAGGGTGTCGCAAGCAGTCGCTTCGAAAGCCGATGGCGCGGCGCGCGGAGCCGGTCGACTGGAATAGGAACGAAGTGGAGGCATTATGTTCCGCGCGAGCGGATAAATCGCTACCCGGACAAGTAGGTAAAACGGGGACCTCCACCCCGGGCCAACCAGACGGATAGCCTTCGCAGGGACGAGACCAGACGCGCATCAAAACGAAAAGAAAGAGACAACCTTGGACCTTTCACAGCAGACTGTTGTTGTTGTTTCCACAGTACGCTCTAAACCGCAGGCCCACTGGAAGGCCTGATTCCGCACTGTGCTGCCGTCGCTCTGTCTCTCTCGCACTCGTGACGGCGTAGTGGCGCGAGAGAGACAGAGCGACGGGACGGGCACGTCGACAGCGCGTGTGACGGGCGGCCCGCGGGGCTGGCCCGACCTTTATATACTGCCGGCCGAATCCGGCCGCGATTTACCGGCGCGATGCTCTGTAAATTAGGTTTGCCCAGAGAAGGGTCGTGCCACCGCGTGGACCCGCGCGGGGAGGGGGAGATGTATTGTATGAGTATTTGTACAGTGTCCGGATATTCAGCCATGAAATAATGACCTCCGCACGGCTTCCAGGAAAGGCCCCGGGAGGGGGAGGGGGAGGGGGAGGCGGAAGGGAGAGATAGCTTCTGCTGCTCATCCGGACCAAAGGCCAGGGCAACAGGGTACACAGCAATGCGAAAACAGGAAGAAAGGGGGAAGAGGAAGGGTGCGGCGGGTGGAGGCCTCTGCGCCGCACCGCGCCGCGCCGCGAGTCCATGGCTTCATTATCTCAGACAAGTTGCGCTGTTGCCTCGGCTTGCTTGCCTCCCACCTCATTATGCCTACTCTGTAATGGCATTACCTCGCGAAAAGGGACCGGCAAGTCTGGCATTGGCATCTTGGTGCCGTGCCCCGGCGTGCCCCGGCGTGCTCTGCGCTGCCTGGCCTTGCCTCGGCGCGGTGTGGTGAGATTCGGCGCGCGACGTGCGAGGGCGGTAACACAAGCCGGCTTCCCCGCCCAGCCCGGGGCCCCGCCCTCACCTAATGTCTTACTCCAGGTCCGCGCCGTCCGCACTGGGCGACCTGTTCCTTTCAGGGGCCGCACACGTAAGGAGCAACCCACGCTGACAGTTTCCTTTTTCTTGTCCGCAGAAACCGGTGGAGATGGCGTCGTACTCGGCGACCGGCGGCTGCCCGACGCTGCCGCGGCACTGGTCCTCGTACGGCGTGCGGCATCCCATGATGCAGCAGTACCCGGCGCCGGGCGTGGCGGGCGGCGGCGTGGGCGGCGTGGGCCCCGCGGGCGGCGCCCCCGGCCTGGGCCCCGGCGCCGTGGGCAACCACGCGGGGACGCTGCTGCTGCGCCACCCGCACCACCAGCAGAGCACCTACATGGGCCACCACCCCGGGCTGCACGGCGTGCACGGCGGCGCGCACCACACGCAGACGCTGCCGCGCCACCACGGCGGCCTCCACCAGCACCACCCCGTGCACCCCCTGCAGCTGCAGGCCCTGGGCGGCGTCCACCCGCACATGCAGCCGTCGCCGCCGCAGCACGGCCAGCACGCCGCGCCGTCGTCGGACGAGGACCAGGCCGGCGTCGACACCCCGCTCATGGTCAACAAGCGCGAGAGCACGGTCTGACAAATGACCTCCCTGTAAGCCGGCCCGCGCCCACGCGCCTGCTGGCCCAGGCAGGGAGGAACCCACGTGTAGTGCGACGGCCGCCCGCGCCGCTCCGGACGCCGCCAGGCAGAGCGGTGGCGCGCCGGGACGCACCGTGTCGCACAAAGTGACTGTTTTCCATTTATAAATATTAAGTGTTTTTTATTGCGCGGACGTTGCGGAGGAGGATAGGACTCGGCGAGGGCGTTGATCCGCTCTTTGCCGTGGGACACTCCGGGCGGAAAAATTAGTGCAAATGTGTTGCGTGAATGGCGGGCACGTCGACTGCATTCACGTAGGCGATCCCCTCGGACGTTGACTCCTCGCGAGTCGGGGAAGAGTCGCCATCCGTTGAAACGACGCTGGTTGTAAATGTATCATGATATCATGTAAAATGAGACGTGTGATTTTATTTTTAAGACAATATTAAATAAGTTCTTTTCAGAAAGTGGCCTGCAAAGGATGTTCCCAGTCTAATCTTCGATTACTCCTTAACCTAGGCTATGTTCGGTTTTGAAATAATACTGTCTTCGATTCTTGAAAAGTTCATGGCCTTACTGTATGGCAAAGAAGGTGGCTAACATTTTTTATCTCGAGCTAAAAGAAAAGTATACTGAGTTTAAGGGACCTGTAGATATTTTCAGTCCTTCTAAATTTTTCTAATCACTATGAAAGCCATGGCTATTCTCTATGAAATCCCTAAACCCGACTTTGTGTCCGATATGAATCCTCGCGCTGTGGTAAAAATAATGCTGTTCTCTGTTCAGTAAAGAATTGTCTTAGTTGCTCCAACATTCCGTCACTTGCATGCACTGAACCTTATACTGTGCCTTTTCTTTGGATTCCCTCATGTCTGTTTTGTTTACGGTTAAGTTTGTTGCCATGAAATGGTCAGTCGTTGCAATCCGGCCGACGCGCTCTGTTTCCTTTGTAAATGGTTTCGCTGCCACACTCACGCCCACACAAGACGTGTTCCCTAGTTCCCTTGAAAACATTGAAAACTAATGAAATGTACCTTAGGTTTCCAAAGGCAGAACTTTTTATTCTATTTCTTTGTATTTATGTATATAAGATATATTTTTGAATAAAAAAGACTTCATTTAAAAACAAATTTGACGTATGATACCTTTTTTTTTCGCCCTTCCTCCAGACGCCACAAACAAATGGGGTGGCGGGTGAAAGACCAGCGGCGGGGCGAGCCAAGGACTTTGGCGGTGGCGACCTGGGGAGCAGCAAAGGCAGCAAAAGCCAGGAAGAGTCTTGAGGGCGCCGCGCGCTGTCACATTTCCCAGATAATGAGAAATGTAGAGCGAAGCACGGCGAAGCAGGCGAAGCCTTGCCAACATCAGATTACGCGGAATAAGGTGGGGGAATAATGGGAGCCCCGCCCGGCCCGGACAGCCTCAGACTCCATTATTTTAAAACGCGTTACACGCCCCGTGTAATAGAAAAATTATCGTGAGTTGTCATACAGCGGCAAAGCCGCCAAACAAGCTCGCGAAAAACACGCCGCGGGAAGGAGGAAAGAGGCCGAGCCGCGTCTGCCGAACTGCTGGGAGGAAACTAGGGAGAGGGAAGTTGAGGGAGAAATATTTCACGACAAGACCAGAGACGAGAGTAAGACACAGCTAATTCCCAGGCCCCTGTCCGCGCCACACAGAGGCAAAGACGGCTCGAAAAAAAAAACAGGAGAAAGGCGCGTGGGGCAGTCGTCATCAAGATTATTAATCGCAGCCAGTCGCCTCTCTGGCTAGACACTCGGTTTTATCGGTATCGCCAGACGGATTTAGAATAAAAAGAACTGCGCCGAGCATAAACTTTTCTAATTTATGTTTTATACGTTACCAATCATCCCCGACTCAGGGAAACCAAAAACAAAGTAAAAGCCATGAATCATTCATGGTTGTTTCTCGTTGTTGACTTCTTTTCACATAAGAAACAGAGTTTTTAGGCCCAAGACCAAAGACTTTCTGTCCGGAGTTCTCGACGTGTTTTCACTGTTTTCAAACAGTTTTTTTTTTAAAGCAAATAGACGAGTTTTTAGCGTCAATAGTTAGGACAATACACTATACTTGTGACAAAAATTCCAATCCGGAGTCAGGGGAACGTTCCCGCGGTCAGTTCAAGCGCGAAGCCACGGCGCGCAGCGGGCAGCAGGGCGGCGGCAGCGAGCGCGCTCTCCCATGTTGGCCTGCTTGTCGTACTACAACGGCGCCACGGCGCGGGACGGCTGGCTGAGGGCTGGCTGCCTGCAGGGCTGGCTGCCTGCAGGGCTGGCTGCCTGCAGGGCTGGCTGCCTGCAGGGCTGGCTGCCTGCAGGGCTGGCTGCCTGCAGGCTGGCTGCCTGCAGGGCTGGCTGCCTGCAGGGCTGGCTGCCTGCAGGGGCTGCCTGCAGGGCTGGCTGCCTGCAGGGCTGGCTGCTGCAGGGCTGGCTGCTGCAGGGCTGGCTGCCTGCAGGGCTGGCTGCCTGCAGGGCTGGCTGCCTGCAGGGCTGGCTGCCTGCAGGGCTGGCTGCCTGCAGGGCTGGCTGCCTGCAGGGCTGGCTGCCTGCAGGGCTGGCTGCCTGCAGGGCTGGCTGCCTGCAGGGCTGGCTGCCTGCAGGGCTGGCTGCCTGCAGGGCTGGCTGCCTGCAGGGCTGGCTGCCTGCAGGGCTGGCTGCCTGCAGGGCTGGCTGCCTGCAGGGCTGGCTGCCTTTCGGCCGGCCGCTCTTATCCCACTCTTGCCACACACACGTAGGGCAGCGCCCGGCAGCAGGCAGCCCGCCACACGCTCGTAAATTCTCGATATGAATGGCCGTGCCACGGCCGTACTTTGGAAGGTTTGGCAAAATTGCGCCGCCAGGAGTACGCAAGGGAAGTAATGGGCTGAGCGCGTTGCCGTGCCGTGCCGCGCCGTGCCACGGGGCTGTGCCAGCCAAACGCGCCGCGCCGCGCCACGCCCCCGCTGATACAAATAATTTCCGCAGTGTATTAACCGCGTGGCGGTGAAGCCCAAACATGCCGGCGGTGTGCTGCCCGGCCGCCGCCCCTTGCTCCCCACTTTGTTCTGCTCTCCGACAAGCAGTGCACCGGCAGGGCCGGGCAGGGCCAAGGCGAAACAGGCCGACGTTTCGGCGCGATTGCCGGCCTTTTTTATTCCTCTAACTGTCCGGTAAATCAAAGCGGAAAAGCGAGCCGGCCGGTTGCTACAGTGTGCGAGCAACGCGAGCCTCGACAAGCAACCTGCAAGGAGACAGGTGTAGTCAAAATCGGGTCAAAATGTTAGGCATTCAGGTAGCCGACGCAGACTCAACGCGCTTCTTACGATCGACCTCGTTGTATCGCTGGCGGTCATTCCGACCGAGCCATGTGCTCGGGACACGACACGGCCCGTTTGCGTGAGAAGTTAACGTTGTCATGAATATTGAAAGATAAAAGGGGGTGGGGGAGGGGTGGGGGATCAGAGGCCGCTGCCGGCACTGCTGTGAAAGCTCCGGGGGTCATTAGGAATTCCAAGTAAACACTTGGTACTTGCGTTCTGGACGAGGGATGACACGCCGAGGCGCGCCGTGCCGCGCCGTGCCGCTACGCTCCAGTCGCTCTGCCTCTGTCGCACTCGTGGGGCGCCCCGCGGCCCCCAGGACGCCCCAAATGCGTTTGCACACGAGCGTGGCGCGTGGCGCACGTACACGCAAAGCGCCCAGTCAAACGCCGCGACCGCGTTGGCGGTGCATTGGCGGTTCGTTCGTGTCGCCGATCGTACCGGAAGGCACCGCGCAGTTCCGAGTAGACTTCATCCTGCGCACATCCTTCATGGCTTAGCCTCGCACCCTCCGCCGACGCGGACGGCATGTCCGGCCGGCCCCTCTGCAGCGTGGCACCGTATTTTCCGCCTCACTTTCGGTCTTTGTGGGAACCGAAAACGGGGTGAACGGAAAGGCTGAAGGCAATAAGCGGTCCCAGCCGAACCCCGCGCCGGCCCGCTCCCCGGCCCGGCCGCCAGGGCTCCTATCTCACGGCCTGTATTATTAAACCGTAATGTTTCATCAGGGGACACAGTTATCGGTGCCGCGTGTTCCGCGCGTGACTCGCATGAGGACGAAAGGAAGAAAAAATCCTTTGTGTCGGCTGGCAGGGGGAAAAAAGGGGGAGGGGTGATTAGACGGAATTTCGTTTCACGGCGACGGAGGGGAGGGGCTCCGGAATATAGGTGTCCAGTAACCTGGTGAGGTCCCTCACTGAATCAGACACATGCAATCACACATACGCTCACGCACACATAGCGCGCGCCTCCACATCTGGACACAGGTAGCACGCACACACACGTGGCCGCCCTCTCATAGACACCACACAAACACCCCAAAGTGGCCAAATATGTCGGGAGTCAATCCGAGCTCTCGAAAAGTCCCCCCGACCGAGCGAGATGGGCTGCCGGGGCGGGGCGGGGCGGGGCGGGGCGGGGCGGGGCGGGGCGTCCTTCCCCGGGGACTTCGTCGGGGACGCCGGGAAGAAGGGCCAGAAGGGCCAGAAGGGCGTGGGCCTCATGACGCCGGCCTCCCAGCTTCCTGCCGGTCCCCCCGGGATGAAAATCTCAGAGAGATCTCGCCAGCACAAGGGAAGGATTGCGGCATCGCGGCTCGTCATTGCAAGGGAAGGAGGAGAGAGAGCTTCTCGGAGGGCTGCGGGGCTGCGGGGCTGCGGAGCGGGACCACTCTCCTACACACGGCTAAAACCCTTTCGCCAGGCCGGGCGGCCCGGCGGCCCGATCACATCCCCAGGGACCGGCGACCTCGAAGCCCGTCAGCAGCGCGAACCAGGGAAGCAGGTGGGCGTGCCGGGCGTGCCAGCACTGGCGCTGTCGGGCCGCGGGCCATGCCGGTACCCAGTCAAAGAAAGAGACAGCGCCAGCAGACTGATTCCGAGATCTCCGCTCTGTCTCCCTCGCACTCACGGGGCGTCCCGTGTAGGTGCGAGGGAGACAGAGCGATGAAGGCTACTCTCGGGATCAGTTCTGCTGGAGCCTGGCTGGAGCCCTGACGACAGCTGCTGCTGGAGGGCAGTTC